TATATCAGGAGTTAATAATGATATTATAACATATAATATAGGTCACTGCAAATTATATATTTCCTCGTTCCTCCACCATTCCGTTTTTAACGTACACATTAAATGTAATCAATAAAATTATATGTAATCCGTAAAATGTACAAAATCATGCATCTATTCGTACAAATTACTATACATGCATGCTCATCTATGTAATTTAGCTAATGTTTTCTATAGGTTAGCAGGTATAAGTGTAATCAAAAGTTCATAATAGAAAATATATTATAATATATAATAATACTAATAGGCCTAATAATAAGAAGAAAAAGAAATAAGAAATAAATAGAATTTTATTATGGACTCTTGGTGTAATGAACGAACTAGTACGTGTATGTCAATGACATTTCGGCAGGAATGTGCAAGGAGAAGAAGCAAGTGCACGGCAAATCTTTTTCATTTGATTTTTGCAAGCGCTTGAACTTTTAGGTTATAAGAAGTGAAGACTCACTGCCCTCCCTGTACGTGAACATGGTGCACGACTACGGCCAGGCCGTCTCTCCTTGCAACACAAACCCGGGAGAGAATGAACCACATGTCACACATGGTCTTAACCACAGTCTTTCTGTCTGCTACCTCCCCAGCTACCTCCCGGGACACGTAGACGGCCGTGCACGTCGCGTCTCACATAGCCGACACACCAGCGTTTCCCGCGTCGACGACCGTCTGCGACGCTCAAGACATAGTACTACAATGTGAGGGAACACCCGTTCCCGGTGACGCCCAGCTTCGCCGGAGGTTTTAGTCAGATTTCGCGTGGAGACTGGGAGCGAGGTTTTAACATCACGCTGTTCCTTTTACAGGGGCACGCTTGTAAAAACAAACTGCGGCGCTGCCCTGGCAACCTCCTCGCTCGAGCTTCGCCGGAGAGCACTCGGCTGTTCTTCTCTCACACAAGGCAGACGATCGCTCACACCCTTACGGCGTATGTATACATAACCATGTGTGTGTGCGAGTGAGCGCGCATGAGTATCATCTATCTATACTACGCATCTATCTGCCGTGAAAAGGTTACTTCTACTGGCCCTGCGATGAAGCTTGCCTGCTGTTGTTGTTAACCACTTGCAATTGTGGGAAGCAGATCTCTGCGGCTGCTGCTGCTGCATTTTCCCGGTAAGCCCGCATTTCATTATTTATAGTAAACGTGGAATTCTAGCGCCAGTGCTGCATGCTTACAGGAGGTGATGTGCGTGGAGATGTGTGTGTGTGTGGGGGCTATCGTGTATGTGTGCGTGCGTGCGTGTGTGAGTGCGCGTGCGTGCGTGAGTGCGCGTGCGTGCGTACGTGCGTGCGTGCGTGCGTACGTGTGTGCGCGTGTAAATGTCTGCGGGGAGTTGATGTCGGAGTTGTGATATGATATGAAATGATATGAAGACATTGAATCCGTCTATTAGTGCATGGTGATTCCGGTGTCCGAGCCGATCCAGTCACATCTCACATAGACGAGCGTTTACGAGTGAGCCAACAATTAATACTCGGACTTTTTCCAACATAAATCGTATAGTGTTTTTCTGTCGATATATATAGACGTGACAATATTTTCCGATATGCTCCACAGATATGCAGATGAATATATCATGCGATTCTCTAAATTAAGATTTTAAGAATCTGAAAAAAATTTCATGATAGTCTTTTAATTGCTTACTATCTCGGATTCTCTCCTAACCTGCGTTGAACGTTCCCGCCCGCCCTCCGTGATTCCTATCGTGCTCCTATTCCTCCTCGCGCACAGTTAGATTGTCGTTCCTAGCTGTTACTTATGTATCGCGCTATGATATGCGGTGTGCATGCATGCGCTTGTGTTCTCGCCTGCTGCTTCTGACCGACCGACCGACCGACCACCATGCAAGCCTCGATCTACGACATGTTTCAGGCGACCAGCACCAAGGATGATGTCATCAGTGTGATATATAGTTATATCAGGAGGTTAATAATGATGTGTGTGTGTGTGTGTGTGTGTGTGCGTGCGTGTGTGCGCGTGCGCCTGAGTCGATGCGTGTTTCTCTGTTTATCGCTGCTGCTAGTTACTTCTGCATCAACCTCACTATTAGGCGATTACTTTCATCACTGCAAAACAAGATCTCATAAGACGGTCTGTCATGACACATAAAAGGAAGACAACTACATTTGCACAGCGCTTACACTTATACGGTTAATATATCCACATTCCACACTTCTTGCCTCAATTATTAAGAGTGTTAAGACTTGAGATAGTTTCCCATTAGAATTCACATATTTAAGGCACATCTTTTATGATAACAATATTTTTAACACATGTAAGACAAGTATTGAGCATCGCTTTGCCACATTAATAGTTTTAATTTAATAAAAGGATACGTATGCTATAGCCACAATTACCATTTCATGTTGTTGTAGAAAATTAGGTAGAAATCCAGCATAGCACCTTGACATATGACCAGAAGGATGCAAAGAACCCTAGCCAGTACATCTGTCATTCGAATACACACCACATCACAGACACTTTGTGCCATCGTTGACCGTGCAGGCCCTGAAACGACAACCACTTCCCTCAAATCAGTATCATACAACTTATACAATTTAATTGTCAATTTCATGCACGAGGACCAGCATAAACTAGGATACAAGATGCTCGTGGGATCTAGACAAAGATCAAGTATTTAAGAATGCTGACTCAGTGTCACTGATTGCTTGACTGATACACTGCCACTGCCACTAGCGCAGTACAATCGTATCATAGTCTCATAGACACAAATTATAATCATTATAATTTATATAAATCATCAGCAATTTATAGTGAAGTCTAACGAATTTACAATTGAGTTTGATTGTTATACCACGAGTGACGTGACACCGACACGGCAACTGCAATTGCATGTACTGTACAGTGTACTGCCCATAGCCTAGCCCTCCCACTCCCAGGTACTAGGTAGTCTGACTCTAGACTAAGAAAATAAGATACTGTGTCGAGAAGTTTGCCACGAACAATGCAAAGTGCGTATATAAAAACAAAGTTTCCGATTCGTTTTTAAAGCTATCGCATTACGAATCTTACGCTTGGCAGCTTCCACAGTCAGGTTCCTAGGGAAAACCGATGCACCACCAGTATGAAATCAGCTGATTCTTTGTCCCATCTCACCCTATGCACTGACTGACTGTTCTTTTGTTACGTTATTGCTATGATAACAAATTAACAATGTTCTGAGGTCAGGTTATAGTTGCGTTTCCTTCCACAAGGTGTCGCCGCTGCCGGCACCTCAGACGAATGAATGAAGGGCATATAATGAAGCATAAATAATTAAAGTTAACGATAACGAGTAACTAAATTTCTTTTAGATTTAATATTTAAGTCAAAATCATGCATTATAATATTTATTATATCATGTAATCATTATACTAAGTAAATTTTGTAAAATATATAGTTCTTTGTGTTTCAGAAAGGTAGCGCTACGACGTCATCTTCGACACGATCGCGAAAATAATTGAAACGATAATAAAAAGTCATTTGATTTCCTTTATTATATTTATTTATTAGGTCAAAAGATGTATTATAATGTTATAAAACCTTTTAGCAGCTAGATGATGTTAATGCAATTAGG